CGAAGGACTCTTGCATTTTTACATGCATTTTAATATTAACGCCCCGCGAAATGAAAGGCGTCGACGAGCGGCGCAGACAAAAAGGATTTTTTCTCCCCCCATCAGAGGCACTGGCAGATGTCCTACCAAAAAGGATGCGACGACGACGACGACGACATTTGCTTTTGGCCATGGCTCAGTTTGGTCTGCAATTGCTAAATGCGACTGTCTACGCCTTCGGGGGGCTGTGGATGGATAAATATGAGAGAGCGGGCTTACACTGGTTAGTACATTAAATGAAGCCTCAGTCCGCTGGTGTCCAGGACTAAATTGATCACTACAAGAAATATATTTGTCTTAGTTTAGATTTAATATTAAGAGAATATAAAAAATTTTTTCCAGAGAAACCATTTAAGAAGGAAACCAAAATAAAGTTTCTTAAAAGAAACTTTTCTAAGTGTATAAAAATTATGAAAAAATGTTTGTATTTTTTTTTATTATGTCTATTATGGAATAAGAAAATATGAAATTTCATTTTGCCAACTGCCGCCGACGCGTTGCATGCAACAATGGCGTCAAAGCAGCGGCAAATATGCACGGACACCAGCGGCAAACGGCCAAGGAGAAGAACACAGCTGGGAATTTAAATGGTATGGCCCATGTGGGAAAGCTCTCTCGGAAAAACAGCAATAGCCATGAAATGGGACGAGCAAGTGCATTAAAATGTTGTAAATTCGAATTATGATATTAAATTCTTAGTCAAGTGCAGGCGGGGTGGGTGAGTTCTGAACGAAAGCCAGATGCCAGCACGAAATGGAAACTAATAAATACAAATGAGTGATCGTTAAATCGTTAAACATCGTGATGGAGATCAGCTCAGGCTTAGATCGCTAATAAAACTGATCAGGAACTTCCCACAAGCTTAATACCATGCTTGATAATTTAATGACGACTTCAAACTTTATTGATCGTTAAATGCTGATATTGGAAAATGGGAAATGGAAAAGAAAAGTTTAAGAAATGTTAAAAAAAGTATTGCCAAGAGTTAAAGTGCAGGGAAATTGCATGATCATAAAATATTCATAAGGCTTCCATGAATGTTTAAAAAAAAAATCAATTTAAATTATTTCCGTTCTTAAGAGAATATATCCCTTGTAGGACCTATAAACTTTATTGCCCATTAAAGATGGTAGTCATAGTCTCAAAAGAACAGTTAATCAAACTTTAATAACCAATAAATGAAGTTCAAAATTAACTTTTGGCATAAATATAATCATAATGTTGAGGAAATTACCTAATCTGCTAAATATTGGCCAACACATGCTAAACAACTCAGACAATTAATCTAAATCAATAGACCATGCCCAAGGCTATGCAAATTTGGCAATAACTCAAAACCAATTCCCCCACTTGAAATTGGTTTATGTTTACGATCTCAGATTTTAATTGCAATTCTTGCAATTTTCCATTCCCTGCTGTGATTATTTTCATTTATCGAGCCATTAATATCAAATCATATATGGACTTCTCAAAAATCTTTGACAGTTTATTTTTTTTTTTTCGCAACAATAAAACAAAAACTAACGAAACTTGGACTCAAATTACTTTGATCGCGTATTTTGTAATTAACATTTCATAAATTTGCCATCGCGATAAGAGAATTTTTGTTTTTCCATTAGGAATCAATTAAAATGTAAGAAAAAAAAATAGATATTGCTGTCTGAAACTATCGCGATCGAACCACTTTTCACACTCACAGATATAAGATAAAGTCACTGGCGCACTCTTCGCACTGTGTGGCAATAAAAGAAAAATGTATTTCCATGGAAATAGCATAATTCACATGAAAATGCCAATAAATTGTCAGGAGATTATGCAGTTGGGTCTCCATTAAAACAAAATGAATAAAAATATATATATAAATATATACCAAGATAGATATGTGTGTGCACAAATAATATAGATATAGTATAGGCTGAGCGATTTAATCGCTGTGCCAGAGCTCGGTTAATGAATTGAATTGAGCTGGAAAAAAAAAAAAACACCGAAGTGGGCAGCAGCCAAGTGGGCCGGCACTTGTTGCTCCGTTGTAGGCTTTGCGCTTTTTGATCTACTCTAGATTGGCACTTTTAGCGTAGCGCCATGGATACCAAAAAGCGCCTGAGAAATAATAATAATAAAAATTATGCACTTGCCACTGCGCAAAAAATTTGCATAGACATACGACTCTATTTCGGTTCGGCTTGCATATCTTTCACTCTGTCCGTTTAATCGCCATCTATGTGGGTTATACTCATGGCATCTGGCGAAAAACGGCAATCGAGCGTGCCAAATGGAATTTTTGTAAGTAATTGAAAAATTTGCTTAATTGAAAAGCAGTTCGGGGAGGGCAATATGCGCTGGCGGCATCTAGAGGGCGTTTGCTGTACCGTTTGATAAATGTCCTACAGGATATGGGTTGTTGTCTTCGCTTGCTGAGAGGATAACAGTTATACAACGGAACTTTGGTGGTGGTAAAATAAATATTTAAGCTTTAAACTTTTTTGTATTTTAAGGACTTATCAGGGGATCCTAAATATAGAAAGCGTTCTAAAGTTTATTAATAAATCTTTCGGAGTATCACCCCCTACTTGTCTTTCAATTTAATTCCCCAAAGGGTTTATTTTCCACGTAAACGTATACCCATAAAAATAAGCTAGAAATTCCCTAGAAAAAATTTCCCTTAAGACCAATTTAATGTGAGAGACTTCACAAAATGCTTCACATTTTCTTCAGTAATCCCGCACTTAACTTAACCCTGGGAAAATGATCGGAATTTGCCCGACTGAAACTCCCATTGATTTATTAGCATAGAAGGCGAAAAGCTTTAAAAGAATGGACAACAAAAAGAAGCATTTTAATGTAATATGTTGTAAAGCCACCACACGAAAATCACCCATACCGACCACATGCTGGTGTCCCAAATGCATTAGGGGGAACCCACGGGAAAAGCAGAGACGCCTTTAAAGAAAATAAACAAACTCAGCAACGCCCGCATTCCAAGGAAAGCGCCAGCAGCAGCAGCTGCATGAAAAACAGAGACTAGTAAAAGCAGATAAACTGCGAGAAAAAGAAATGCTATTAATTTAATTTAGCAATTCCTATATTCTTAAACTTGAAAAAAATCATTATTATGTAGAAATCATTTTCCTCGTAGATTCTTAATCTGTCCGAATGATTCAACAATTTTCAACATTTTCTTATACAAAATTCTTTCCAGTGTAACATCAGCAACAACTAGCAGCTTGCAGTCACACACAAGTCAAAGAAATTTGCTGTTAATTCACGTATTAACCTTTTGACATTTGGCAGCATCGCCAACGACGACGATGCCGAAGTGGAAAAAAAGGAAAACAAGTCGACAAAATTCCAATATGGGGAGACAGAATTGCCGGAGGGAAAATCAATGGGGCGGTAGGGTGATGGTCGGGGACGAGGAGAGCAGGGCTTGGGCACATCTGCCATGGAAAACTGTGTCAATGTGCCAGCAACAACAGCAAATGCAAGGAAAAACTTTTGCCGGGGCGTCGCTTTTCCACATCTGGGTGTGTGTGAGTGTGTGAGTGTAAGTGTGTAAGCGTGAGTGTGTACATTTGTGTGAAGATGTTGGCATGTGGGAGGGCACAAGCTGTGATCGGCGGTCGGTTCGCTGCCACGCCAAATGGAAAGCCGAAAGAGCTATAAAATGACCAGGAGTCGAAGTTAAAGATACTTTTTGTCATAAAAAAGATGAACCTTCGTTTAATTAAATTTAATATTTATCTTATATGTTGAAGATTTGGTAAAATATTACTAATTTTTTTTTTAATATATATTAAATAAGATCCTTTATAAGTTTTAAGGTATAACAAAAGTCATTTTAAATACAGAAATAAGCATACTACCAGGATAAACTCACTTTTAATTCAATCCTTTCGCAAACCCCATCATACCCTTAATTAAGAGGTACTACCAAACTCGTGTCTATGAAGTACGTGTGCTTCAATGACTTTCAATTAAATCAATATTCATCGTTTTGGCTGAGGCAGCCGCTTCGGGCTAAATGGCAATGGGGCGACCAAGGCAGCGACTTTAAACTCCGCTCCTTGATTAGACGCGACAACAACAACAACAACAAGAACGGCAACATTGCAAGGCAACAACTGGCAAACATTGGCCAGAAACAGCAACAACAACAACCGGCAACAGCAGCATGGGAAAATGTGCAATTTTGGCCAAAAATAAATAAGCCAAGCCGGAGGACAGAGGACGGCGGAGATTCGACCTGACCGTCCCTCGTCTCACATTCGTTGCGCAAAAATTGCAGCCTCTGTCTGATGATTTTGCACAATAAAAAACTTTATTTTCTTTTACATATTTGTTAAACTAAAAGGATAGTAATGAAATTAATAAAAAATTTAATAATATTTAACTACTCCCTATACAAAATTTGAAAACTAAAAAGTTTCTAGCTTTTTTCCCATAAACAACTTGACCAATCAACTCAGATTTTCTCCCCGTGCATCCAGCAATCAAAGATACACCGGGGAGAGAAGAAAAATAAACATTTGAACTACTAGCCCAGGCCTTTCACAAAAAAATGGGAGGCGGGCGCCAAATCGCGCGCAAATAATTAATGTTTGGCAATAATCGAAGACACCTTCGGAGGCAGTTGCAACTTTGGCCGGTTGCCAGTTGCCAATTGCCAGTTGCCAATTGCCAGTTGCAGGTTGCCATTTGGCCATTTGGGCAATGGCTTTTGAGCCGCCAGTGGGCATGCAAATGAGGCCGCAAGGGAGGCGTCACCTTGCCGGCAAAATATTTTAACGTATTTTCGTTGTAATTACAGTTGGGTGGAGAGTTATGGGAAGAAAACGGTTTCGGCCAAAGTTTATTTTCAAAGCCCCGCTGAGCAACAAAATATGACACTAGGAATTACGCTGACCAAATTGGTAAGTCAATATTTATTTGTTAAATACTAGTTGTCAGTTAGTTTATTATATATTTTAAATTCCGAAGGTGGGTTGGTAAAACATTTGATTTTAGATTTCATATGAATATAAACCTTTATATTTGTGTTATTTTAGTTTTGAGGTTTTTCTTTTATATTTGTTAACATCTTATAAATTCTGCTGGCATCTTTTAGGAACTTTAGTTACTCAGTCGCCTTAAACTAAACTTAATTAGTCATTTTAAATTCTATAGTAACGTTTACTTTAGTGGACCCCACAAGCAATTCAATGAGAAACGCAATGGTAGCCAAAGTCAAACCTCCCAGCCACAGTCCAGCAATTAGGTAATAATATTCGAAATTATTCGATTCCACTTCCAAATGCCGATCACGAAATCCGAAACTGAGTAAGCCACTTTGAATACCATGTCGATAGGCATCGTCCTTCATTTTCAGATAAATTCCACTCTCGAATATTTTTCTCACAAACAAATTGAATAACTGCAAGTATGGACGACCAAATGCCGAAGAAATTTGCTGAGGTTGCTGGTATAGAATATGGGGAAACTTCCGAAATATTGGAAACTTAAGGAAATGTTGTTGGTAAAGAGCAAACTCAATGCGATCGAAAAATCCAGAGTGGATACAGCTAGTATTTAGATTCCTTCGATATATATCAACATCTGCCTCTGATGTAGTCACTATACGTTTGAGTAGATTCTTTCGATCGGGTATAAGCTTCTCCATAGTTCTAAGATCCACATCTATCAATGGCCAAACACTATCGGTTTTATCCAAATCCTCCCAAGTATTTATTTGCTTTTCATAAAGTCCTGCGGCCAAAATACTCGAAAGTTGAGCCAGATACAGATTGGTTAATATGAATCCTGCTGTAGTTAATATTATAAATAGTATAAAGCGGTGACGAGATGGTCGAGCTCCCATATCTCTGCCACCTGAGAGATACAAAACCAATCGAAGAATTTGTAGGAAAGCAGCACTGCTGCCCATTTGTCCTCTCGATAAGATCCTTAAAGCCATGGAGCAATATATAAGCATTATTACCCAAGTAATCCAAGTACTGAATGTATAAGGTTTGATCAGATAAACCCAATTGGGCAAAAGTCTTGATGTGGGCACTATAAGACCACAATTTTCCAGATAAAGTATATTGGTCATTGCGAACGTCTCAATCGGTCTGATTAGGAAGGGGAAAAAGTCTATCGTACGGTTGGCCAAAAGTTCAAGGCCATCGTTAACAGTTACTATATCCAATAAACGAATTGATCCATTAAAATGATTTGTAAAATCCACAACCATTCGTAGCATATAGCCAGTTAGGATAAGTTTATTATTGCGATCCCGAAAGGAAAACCAGCGAGGTGCGCCTGCTGTTACCAGGCCACTGGTAATGTTATAGCCATTAAAATCTGTTTTCAAACGAGAGTGATCAACAAAGTCACTGATAGTTTCTAACTTGATAATTCTCATATCCTGATATGGCATAAAGCTGAAGAATCCTTCAGAATCGGGTAACATTAACAGTACTTTAATCAAACCTTCTTTAAAGCAATGATTAAATATATTTAAAACATTCCCAATAGTTCCTTTGAAAAATATAACCACTTGAAGATGTTGATATTTCGATAACCACTTTGTAAGATAGCTAATTCCGCTATTCAGATACTCATCTTCCAGATACAAAACTGTTAGAGTGCAACTACTAAAGTTTCCTTCCAAAACAATTTGATTTTTGGTATTCCTAATCCAAATGGTAGGTATAAAAGGCTGCCAGGCAGCTTCCAAGATCTCCGAACCATTACCAAACTCCAAAAATACATTCAATTCCGTTTGGTAAATCTTATTTAGCTCCTGAATAGTTTGGCCCAAGCGATTTCCTTCGTAAAGTGAAAGGCCCTGAAGCGTGTTGAGGTAAAGCAAATCCATTGAATTGACTGTGGAATCCTCTGCTTAGAACTTCTTTTATAGGCAATATGACACGGCCCCCTAAATGGTATCATTATATAATTACATACACTGATTTAATGTTTAGTAGACATGCCAATTTGAATTTATCTAATGGGTAGCCTGGGGTATATTTATGAATGGCTGGTAAAACTACAAGTCATTATTGGATACTACTTAGTATTTTTTTATGTATTTTAGGACAAATAAATTTAGCCGATTTTATTACCTTTAAGGAAATTAAAGACACCTCCAAATATCAATTTTCCAGTGTTTATTTATTGAATTTACTTTGTTGCACTCATCACTAAGTTTTAGGATTAAAGTTTCTTCATTTTATTTTTTTCTCCACTTCGTTTCTTTTGTCCTCCTTGCTCCTTTCGTCGTTTTCAACGTGTCTCGCTCCTTGAACTTCTTCTTAATCGACTCCGTCGTTTTCTACTTCTTTCGCCAGATGGCCACTCGTTGTCCTTTTATCTTTTTTGTCATTTTCTACTTCTTTGACTAAACTTCTCGTCTTTCTCTTAGTCTTCTCCCTCGTTTTTTACTTCCTTCGCGAGATGGTCACTCGTTGTCATTTTAATCTTCTCCGTCGTTTTCGACTTTTTCGCTTAATTTCTCGTCTTCCTCTTAATCTTCTCCTTCGTTTTTTACTTCTTTTTCCAGATGTTCACTCGTCGTTAGCTTGTATTGATATCTCATAGGTTTTGGTATTTCGTTTTGTGGGGATTTTTTATGTTTTTGGAAGTGATATTATATTAACCACTCCCACATATCATTGTTATATCATATTCCCAAACCTTTAGTAACTTATAATTAAAACATAAATTTCTCTAACAAAAACACGACAGTACCAAAAAACCACCCCAAGCCCAGTAAAATGTAGGCAAAGAAGTAAAACTCCTTATCGAAAACCTGTATTTCGCGGGATTTTGATATGCGAAAACTTATTTCACCGCCAGAGATTCCTTCAAGGGTGGCATCCCTCTGAAGTTTTCCCCAAATTCCCGATTCCCAGATACCTTTAAGGTAACTGTTAAATAGCTCTAAATATGGCAATCCATGACGAACTAAAATAAAGACTGGCCTTTGATCGAAGACTTCCTTTAATGTCTTGAAAATCGGCACTCGAAGATACATTTGCTGTGAAAGTTCAAAGGCAATACGATCCTCGTAGGCCTCATAGGCATACGTTTTGTTGAGCCCCTTGCGATATTTAAAGACATCCTCTATCGAGGCAACAAAGGTAATGTTTTCAAATTCTTTTTGAATTATCTTAGCTTTGATCATTTTCCGAAGTACGTCAGCATCAAAACTTTCCACCATCAGCATTTGCTTTTCACGGAACAAGTCTTCAAAGGTATTGAGTTGCCTTTTGAATAGGCCAGTGGTTAAGTAACTTGATAATTGAGCGGTATAGAGGTTGGTTAGAATAAAGCCAACTGTGAATAGGACGATGAAACTTACTACCTGATGCATTCCCATATTGAAATGCCATATTTTCGTAACAGGAAGTTGAAATAACAACTGCAAAACATCCAAAAAAGTTTTAGATAAAGTGGAGTTCTCCTCCTGTCTATGTGTTATCCACCAGATCAAGATAGAAGCATAGATAAAACTAACTATAATAGTAAACCAAACTGCAGAACCAAAAGGTCGTATAAAGTACAGACTTTTTGCCAAGGGTTCGGCCCAAGGAACCATTATATAGGTTTTAATGTTGAAGAATATATGACTGTGGTAGAAATATTTCCAACCCAGTGTGTGTATTATCCTTGGAACCATATCAATTTCGCCACTTTTTAATGCCCTCAGCCCTTCTTCATAGGGTATGATGTCTGTATCATATAAAAGATGTCTCTCAGTGCCATTGTAGGTCTTAATAAATTGCTTAATCATTTGGTACATGTAACCAGCATAGACCTTTTGACCTTTTCGGTTTGTATAGTGAAAGCATCGAGGTGTCATCGTTTCCACAGTAAGAGTAACTGCCTGTTTTTGCAGATTTCTTAGATTTGTCAAGCTATAGAACATTTTTATATCATCAATCTGATGAATGTTAACTTTTGGATAGGGCCTATAGGTGTAGAGCTTTCCATTTAATAAATTCAAAGCTAGGACCCGAACAAAGCCTTTGTCTAAAGCTTCTTGAAAGTAAAAATTGCTAGAATTTACGATGAACAACATTTGCAAGTGGTGTAATCCCCAGAGTAGCTCCTGTATTCCATTTATAGTTTGATTTTTTGTAGATTCCTCCAAACAGGCAATGGTTAAAGAACGCTCGCTGAATCTACCCATTAATTTTTTTGGTTTTTTATAACTTTCGATTAACAAATTGGAAACTTCCTGATCCATCTTCAGATCAGTATCACCACAATCCATGTAGATATTAAGCTGATGCTTCCCATCTTTATTCAGCTGATGAATCACTTCTCTGGCTGACCAACTTTGGGATCCTCCAGAGAATAAGACAATTAGTATAAAAACCAGCAGGCGACACATGATGTAGTCCAGCCCGAAAAAAGGACACTGAGACCCTCGTTACAAAGACTTTGCGGTTTTAAGGCCTGGTCAAGATCTTTATCGGAAACAATTACATTGCATTGTCAATAAGTTGAAGTTGAAGTGGAAGTCAGAGGCGATGTTGAAGTCGAAGTCCAAGAGCAAGTCGTGCGCGGGTGAGATCACTGAGAGAAATATGATAGTTAGTGTATAATAGAAGAAACGCAGAACCTTCTTTAAAATGATTTCTCATTTCATCTATGAAAGTAAAATGAATTCCTAGATTATAACAAGAATAAAACTCTTGAATGATGTATGAATCCTGACTTCCATCACTGCTGTTTGCTAGCTAGTTTTTCGCCAAGTGCATTGCTTATCGCAGCATCTACCAAATTGCCCCTTTGACCACGACCACGTAAACGTAATTGTTTGCGGTCTGGCTTCGGCAGTTCTAACGTGACCAAACAATTGCTAAATGTCATAGATATTGTTAATAAAATTACATGATTGCATAAATGGGCGCTAAACTGGGCGGTGATCTAAGAAAAATTATGTCAGCCAGATGGTATGTGCCAATGAGTGATTCCAACTGCAATCTAAATGCTGATAAATGTTGCTTGTTTATTAGACAAGATGATCAGTAGAGTCAACAAATTCCCATAATTGTGGGGGTTTTCTTTGTAAATTTATTTGAATGCTTACATCATAGTCTTCGTTGAGAAGTTTGTGTAAGATTAAAGTTTTATATTTAAGCCAAATTTGATTTGAATAGTTATAAAAAAATATCCAAAGCTTTAACTTTTTACTTCTCTAAAATCAATATTGATTAACCCTTTGCTCTGATTAGTTGCAAATGGCTGTCAGTGACTTTGCCTTTGTTATTTAAGACGGTTGTCATTGTTGTTCTTGAATTCGTGTTGTTGCAATGGCTTTTGGCCAGAAACTCGTTAGCCCACCACCAGAAAGATCAGCCAGGGGCCAGGCAAAAGTAACAAACGAACCGCATTGAAATTGAAATCGCTCATAAATTCAGTTGCTAATTGTAAAGAATGGCAGACCTTGGAATTCAAAGAGACAAAACTCATTTCCAATGGCTACTGCAGAATGCTAACAAACCAAAAACAACAACAACAAAAACACATCCAAAACGGGCAAAAATGCTTGGCAGCAGGAAAAAAAAAAGTTATGAAGCTGCAGAAACGCCAAACTGGCGAACAGAAATAACAATAAATAAATATAAATTTCAAGCGCAAACATAAAGAGCTATTGACTGTTGACTTTTATGAACAATTAGGCGGCAGCCACTTAAAATGGCCAACAAACTTATGCAGATACAATATACATACGTATCCCACAGATGCAGATACGCAGCTCATAGGAAACCCGAACAAAAGATACAGATACTCGCCCATATATAAGGCCGATATGCTAAGCGTAATGGTATAATGGCTTCTCTATGGGCCTGGCCCAATAATAACAACAAAAAAAAGCAATTGATTAGATCGACAACTGCAGTCTTAAAGATATACTGGGAGGGGGCGTTGTCGAGGGGTAGGACTTGGTTTGTATAGAACAAGGGGGAGTGAGGGCATTTGGACTTTAATTAATGCATTCAAAGCATTTATGTAAATGGAGGGAAATAATTTATCACCCATTCAAGACAGCAACAACGAACAACGGCAACGGCGACCAATCAAATGTGGCATCCAAGCATTGCAATACAGTAAATAAGCCTAATGGAGGGTCTAATAAACATTAGTTTATATTTTATATTTGATTTTATAAAAGCTTTTCATTAAAAAATAAGAATTATTGAGGTAAAAACGAAGAAGCTTCTGGTAAAATATATATCAATTTTTATTATTAAATTTAAATATATTTAATAAATATCTTACAATAATATAAAACCCAAAAACTTCTTAATTTTCGTAGCAAATAACAGTAATTACCATTGTGATATATCAATAAAATCGTTTACTAACGTGGGCTTTACTGTGCTTGCCTCCTTTTTTCATTTGTTACAAAAATCTTTCGTTATTTCCATTTTTTCTCGATTTCTGTGTTCATTAGTGCAACGCCCACACATTGGGCATTAGGTGGGCGTGGCCGCAGCGAACATTAAAAGTCGGCAAATCGTTTGATTTTTCCCAAGATTTCTCGTTGGCTATTTAAGGCTGTTGTAGTTGTCCATGTAATTAGTACTTAATTTATAATTTTTGTACCGCAAAAATTGCAAACCAAATTGCTTAGCAATGTTAGTGTATCTACATATATATTTGTTTGCTTGAGAAATCGGCGCAAGGTTATAGATATTAGATTCCAGATACAAGCTATTGGTAGGCGGTTCTGTGGGCCGGCCCAAGGCGTTTCTGTGTGGGTGGTGGTTGGAAATTGTGCTTAGCTGGGCAACGATTTATGGTAGAAATTCCAGTTGACGGCGGAAATGCAAAATTATTGCCACATATTTCTTCACCTTAACCTTCTCTTTTTGTCAGATATGTTTTCTATGCCGGCATTTTGCCAACAATTTCCGCAAATTAAACAACAATTTCTATCTTCCTTGATACCAGATACGCCGAGCGCTTAGCTCACATTGGCCACAGCCATTAAGTAGAGCTATTACATAGCTAAGGATACGATGCAGCACCAAGAATTTCCACACATTTCTTTGGAGGAAGAAAGATGCACTGGAAAATGGATTGGGTTGTCGATAAGTTAAAAGATGAAGTTCGGCACTCTATATATATTTAGCCATAAGTATTAAGGCAGAGGATAATATCTGAAAGAAAGTTTTGATATATTTTTAGTCACAAAAAGACCACCGTTAACATTTTCCACAGTGCACAGTAAATCAGGTGGCTGCTTGATGCTCATCCAATCGGGCCATACAATTAAATAACAGTCCAGCAAGATAATGCGACTAACTAGAAATAAATAAACAAGCCAGGTAGGCAGGCAGGCGCCCAGTGGCAAGCACCACCTCGGATGCGCTTACTTCCCTCCTGCCATCTCCGCTGAAGCACTCAACTCAATGCAGCTCGCAAGGCTCCATCACTCAATCCTCATTGTGGTCGTCAATCAAGGTTGGCCTGTACTTTTTAGTCGGACTACTGTGCGTACTCGATGGGAGGGACCGAGCAGCGGGCATTGTCTGTCTGTCTTTTCCTTGGTCGCGCAGTTTGGATACCGCATAATGATAGAGCGGACCTGGGGCCTGGCGTTAGCTGGGCTTTTCAGACGGGGCTTACTCAATTACCTTTGACTAAATTATGGCCAATTGTTGCATTGAACATGTGTTGCATAATTACGGGCTGTGGCAGCCACGTACGCTGCAAGTTGGTAGCTGCGAGCTGAAATTTGATTACTGCTTATAGATTAGAGCCGCGCTCGGAATGGCGATGGAGTTGCTGCGCGTTACGATGCACTGTAAGAAAAGCTTATAACTTTTTTTTTGCCTTATGGATCTAACACGAAGATAGTAAAATAACATTAATTACGATAGCTTCTTTGCTTGATTTCTTAATCCTTATTTCATGATGCCCAAAAATATATATATTTTATCCATTAATTACTTACTTCTCTATTTCCCGGTTTTCCCAGCCGTGTAGCTAGTACTTAAGTTTGAACTTGCGCCTTCGGGCCGGCCACTAAATGTGTTGCAAACTTGGCCACGTTGACAGGTTAATGTCCATGGCCAAAAGGGACAAAGGAGGAGGTGTTTTTCGGAGGGGTTCCGGTATGTTTTTTTTTTGTTGTTGTGCTGGATGTGGGGATTCTGCGGTTTAGGGCGTTAACGCTCAACTAACAAAATCAGTTTTTAGGAGCCATAGAAAATGTGTGGAAAACTGTCGACCCACACGTGTTGGCAACATTGTTGTTTCTGTCGTTGTTACCATTGTTGTGGGCTGTTTTTTTTTTTATGTTTGTATGTTTTTTTTTTTGAGCCGGCAATTAGCGTCGCAACATTTACGAGTGCCAGACAAATTACCGGGCAACATGTTGCAATTAAAATAACGGCACGCCAACTTTCTCGCCGCTTTTCCACCTTCACAAGTCGCAGCAAGCCGCAGCGGCAGCGGCAGCAGCAAAAATGTTGCGAGCACGCGTGCGACAGCGAAACAACAAACAAACAACACGGTTGTTTGTTGCCCGTTCGCCGTGAGTTTATGGCGCAAAACACTTAGCCAAAAGAGCCATACTTCAGAGCCAAACCTTTCGCACACAAATTCAATTTGTTTGCATTTTAATTGTCGTTTGTCGCCGTCGCAGGCCAAGAAAAAAAGTGGAAAAATTGCCAACAACTCGACGCCAGTTGTCGCAGCAAATGCAACATATATGGGTGTTTTGCTGTTATTGTTGTTGTTGTTGTTGTTGCATTTTTGTTGTATTTCTTTTTTCAAAATTTTTTATGGCCTTATCCTACGCATTTCCAATGCTGTTAACAGCTTTGTCCGAGGGTGTGTTAAATATTTTTTATGGCTTACTTTGTGCGCCCAACAATCATTTCGGTTTTCCTCCTCTCGCGCCAAGCATTTTCGGCCTTAAGCCTGCATTGACTGCCATTTTTATGGTTATTAAAGCCGCGAGCCGTCTTTTTTGTTTTGTTTTGTTTTGGCCCTCATGTTGGTTGTTTGTTGTTGGTTGTTAGCTGTTAGTTGTTCTCGTTGTTGTCGGTGTGGGCGCAAACTTCAAGATAATTACGTGCTAAAAGTCAAGACAACACAAAGCGCTCAAAGATAAGTCCGCATTTTTATGCCGCGAATTTATGAAACTTTCAATAATAGACATGAAATTCGAAATATCTTCGGCACGCTTTTTTTTTAATGGATAAACATTTCAAAGTTTGGTGATAAACCTGCCTAGAAATCGTAAGAGAAATACCTTTTGGGGTATAGGTTATGGTAAATAAGTTGCCATGGGAAAGGAATTTCCTAAAGGGAATTATCTAAAAAATATTTCAGATAATTATTTCCACAAAAATGTTGGGTCAAGCCTGTAAA